TGGAAGATCAACCGTTTCTAAGCGTGCTAGTTCTCTACATCTCTCTAGCAAGCAATCAACCGTTTCTAAGCGTGCTAGTTATTCTCGAAAATTCAAATCGAACGACTTGAATCGGTAATTTTTGTAGCATATACGAGCATTTTTACTCGGTCTAAAGTCTAAACGCAGCTTCCGCCATCCAAATTGGAAGACGAGCTGACCTAATCGGCGCTGAGGTCTAACCTAACGGGCGTAGATAGAGAGTGGGGGAGCAACAACAAATTCCAAACAAGAAAACGAAGCAGGAAGCGTAAATCGCAAAGCAAGGAATTGAAATTAGAGCAGGAAGACTAGCAGTAATTAATCGGCGCAGCGGAAGAAATTATATGAGAAGCTCGAAATTACGGAAGAGAAGAGGGCGTACCTTTCACCGCCTGAGAATTCGTAGAGCTTGCCGCCGGCTGAGAAGACGATAACGGCGACCTCGACGTCGCACAGCACCGAGAGCTCCCGAGCTTTCTTGAGCAGGCCGCGCTTCCGCTTCGAGAACGTAACCTGACGAGTGCTCTTATCCTCGATTGGGCGCATCTCCACCTTGCCTCTCCCCATTGCGTTCCAGCCGACGAGGCTGGCTTGGCTTTGCGTTTCTTCCTTCCACTCTTCTCTCTTCGGTTTCCTCCAATCGAAGGGAAGGGATGAGAATTCGTATTTATTGTATGCTTTATTGCGGCGAGAGGTGGGAGTTTTGGGAGCTTATTTTCTTGGTTTCTGGGATTGAGTCGAAGGGAGGGAAAAGCCAACTGGCGGAGTCCAAGCGGCGGTGCTACTACAAGTAGCCGGACCAAAGTAGTGAGTCAGTACTCGGTGACCTAGGTAACTGCACTTTTCGAGCACGGCAAGAATAAAACGAAACATATTAAAAAATAAAAATAAAGCTGATTTGTGCGGGAAAAGGGAAGGGCGATAAACGATAAAAATGGAAAATAAAATTGCCTAAACATTCTTGTAATTTTTTCCTTGTTCCATGAATCTCTCTCAAGTGATGAATTCTTTCTATGAATAATAATCACTAATGAATGTCTATAGAATAATGGTTGAATTTAGAGGTGTTATCCCAAAATACTACTATAATCCAATATATATGTATCCATTTACTCCCTAATATATTAGTTTTTATAGGAAAATTTCTATAAATCTTTTGTTTTACTCATCTGGAATTCCCCCCCCCCCCCCCCCCCTTAAGGGTGGAAGGGTGTCTTCAAAGTGAAAATTCGCAGAAAGCCCGAATTTAGGATCTATTTTAGTAGAGTTTGATTTCCTAACTATTCAGACCATAACCTTGTTGGTGAAACGTATTATAAGAGCGATTGTAGATGAAGCACAAGATCCTTGTTATGGCTTCACAAGTTGCGGTAACTTCCAGCTTACCATCCATCATCCACTCAGGTTGATTGGTGGTAATTAAAGTGTTATCGGTGTTTGAGAAAACACCATATTCTGATCATTTCTATAAAAGAGATATTAAACTATGTCAACTCAAATTTTGTTTGTTTTGTGCTAGACATTATAAATTGCGTCTTGTTAATTGGGTCACCAACTTAATATACCGGAGATCTTCCATCTAACTAGATTCTACCACAATACTCTCTATAGCATTGATTTGGCTTTCAGTTTGCTTTGCTAATGGCGAACTAGTTTGTCACTCAAACAATTCACTAAACAAAAGAACCAAGCATAACAAAAAAGCATTGGTTGCAATATGAATAAACATTAAGCATTCCTTCCTCTGTTTGGGCAGACCGGCTCCTTCATAGTTAGATGGTGTACCTCTAGACTTATTAAAGGCATAAAAGAGATTGCCTTCGTTGTAATGGAAAGCAACTATACCATAAAGAAAGCTTTAAAATTTCAAGCACATACGATGGAAAAAAAAACATGTTCCTTCACATCACACACCTGACCAATCCTTTAATAGGAGTATCCACCTCCACTTGAAGTTCCAATGGCAGAAACTTCCACTACCACTAGAATCATAGGTGGCACTTGCAGATGTTTGGAATCATACGGTCTTAATCAGGATAAAACTTGGAATGGAAAATGTAGTGTGAAATAGTTCTTTATTTTTCTTCGTTATATTTCTTAGTATTATTTATTTAGGACTTACCGAATCGATTAAAATAGAAATTTCAAATTTTTTTTTGTATAAATAACATTTAAATGCACTAAATCACAAAAATAGTCAAAGGAAAAATAGGAAATATGTGAAACAACAAATGTATCTCGTTCGCAACCCAACGATTTAAGACGTCCGATTTCTAATGAGACAACTATGTCACAAGTTGCAAACTCTTTCATTCATTAAGTAGGGCGTACGAATGATGAACAATTGACACTACAAAGGCTGAAAAGAAAAGTTCAGGTGCATATGCAACGGGACCTAATATGTTCTAGAGCGAGTATAAAATATGTGGTGTGCGGTGCTACTAGCAAGTTGGAGCATATAAATGGGTCGTTTTCGTCTTTTCAGCTTTTTCCTTAACCTTTTGTTTCTTGGGCTAGAGAGTTCCACTCCACTAGGATAGAATAGACTCATACATCACTGGACGATGTTTCGATTTGTTCGTAATCGAGGAATAATGGACTCTGTGGCCCAATAGCATAAGATTGGTCATGGTACCTTTTATGGGCCTTGGATGATTGGCCCAATATCCCAAATATTAAGGACTCCAGGCCCAATTACTTATATATAACCTTTTTTACAATGAATATTTCTATATCAATATATATTTTCACCAAAAGCTTCAATTTTAATCAGAATTGATACCTAGAATTTTCGGCCATGAATTTATAGTCTTATTGATTACGCACTCGCAAAGAACTATACCATCTAGCTTACGCTACACAATCTAGTACCACACCACTCCCTCTAAGACTTCAAATCATTCTCAACTCAAATCAAAATGGCATATCCCACTATAGCTAATTAGTGTAATATCAAATGTACCTATTGTTTTATTCAAATAGTTTTCTATGTAATCTATACTGATCCGGTCAAAAAAGAAGACACATAGCCATGGTCAAATCCAACCTCCCAACGAACCTAACCAAACAATACTAAAATAAAATCACCCATCAAATGGGTTAAAATTTTGTCTATCTCCCTCTATATAATTTCTTAATTGTTTTTAATTTTGATAATATGAATTCCAAATGTTACAAGACACAAATTGATTACTTGTCTCATTTTATAAAGTGGGTAATTTATAAAAGACTCCATTCAAATTATCTGCCTAATCCCATACAATTGGAATTGACTAACAACAAATTAAATTGAAATTCTCCAAATCAAATTGATTCATCCCAATTTTCTCCTCACAAACATGTGAATTTGGTACGACTGCATTTCATCTGATACAATTCTCGTTCAAACCCATCGACGCAATTACCAGCTGGCAAAAAGTTAAACAGTGCATACATAAAGCAAACAGTGACCAAAAGATATTTCCTCAAAAAAGGCAACCAGAAAGAATAAAGTAGCTAGAGATATTTCTACTACGAAAATGGCGATCGCGCGAATCAAAACTCGGCAAATTGCGAACTGAAACAGCTCAGAAACTAAAACAATTCAGGAATCGACGAAGAGCACGATTCGTTGAACTCCTCAATCAAATGATGAACCAGATGGACGAGAAAATTAAAGAGAAGAGCGCGGCGTACCTTTCACCGCCGGGGATCTCGTCCGCAGCGAACCGGAGCCGGAGAAGAAGACGGCGACGGCGGGGGACCTCCATCTGCATCGGCGCAGCATCGATCGCTCTCGGCGAGCTTTCCGAGCGGAACGGCACCGCGATTGATCGCAACAGTCATTTCTATGAGGGATTGAGAGGAGATTTCGGAGAGATGAGAAAGATATTTTTATCTTTCCTTATATAATTTTTTTCCATGGCGGCAGGATATTTCATTAAAAATTAATAATATAGAGAATTTGTTCAATAAATTACTCATTTTTCACGAAAAAAGTTGCCTTTATTACTAATTGGACTGAAATTTTTTGGTGCAAGTAGTATGTAGCATGCATCTTTTATGAACGCAGGTGTGTTCTTCAGCTTAACATTTCTGATTTTATCGGGTCTGTTGAATTTTTTGGCTATGCTAATATTTATATTTTAATGTTGAGAAGTTCGAAAATGATTACAAATCAGGATTAAATCATGCTAATTGTACATATAGTATTATATTTAGCTGGTATAATCGATAGATTAATACGTAATGATTTTGATAATAAGGATTTAGTTTGAGTGAAGTGAAAGTACATGTTCGTATACATTTTTTTTTTTTTTTGTTACATAATTTTGTTTACATGTTCTTAACTATGGGCTATGGCTAGAATCATATATCTTAATTATTAAAAGAATGTTTACTCTGTTTCACAAACTAATAGAAACAAAAACAAAAAAATATAGGAGTTTCATTTATGGGCCAAGGCCCAAGAGCCCAGTAATCAATCCATTCTGGGAAAGGGAAAATATCTTGACGCACTAAAATATCTTGCAAACAATTGAAAAAAGAAAACCCACTAATGGCCATTTACTGTACATGCAGAAACCTTTTACTGCACATACAGACTCACATGTACTGTTTCAACTCGGATGCCAATTGAGTGTGTGCGAGTGCAGGGTAGGCGCTGGTTGGTTCGAGACGAGATATATGTAGTTCAGTTGTGTTTTGACCATGGATTTGCTTTATGGTTGGTACTTGGGTCGCCTTACTCTCCTCTACTTGCCCCTCGAACGCGTTGATCACCTGGCAGCTATCTATAACCAACCAGAGACTGATATTTGCCCCTTCTGGTTCTGGGTAGGTCTTTTGCCTTCTGCTTTTGAGGCTTTTGGGATACCGTGTGTGGCTTAGGGAACTATGAGTGGTAGACCAGTGCCTCTTTTCTCACCACATATTCCTTATCCCACTTTTCCCCCTGACACATCAACCACACAGACTGACGAGAGGGTGATGGGGGTCAAGTCGAATGTCCTTTGAGAGAGTGTGAGGTTAAGAGAGATCTGTCATCTGTGTCGTCCCCTCACACTTCCACTTTCAGTCCACTTATTTTTCAATTTCCTCTCTCTCTCTCTCCCTCCAATTCTTCCCTCTGGTTTCTCAAATATGTTCTTTTGGAGACGAGCAGAGTTGGAGCAATCAACTGGGGGGTTTCAGATGCCTGGAAAAATTTCAGAGAGGCCCAGATCTGCAGGTTCTGTTTTGGTTGAGTAATTTTCCTATGTTTATCTCAGTCCCTGCCACGGATGTTGCTCAGAAGTCAGAACCAGGAGAATCACAGTCATCATCATCGCAGCTAATCTGCAGATTACTCTCTCTCGCTTCTGATCATTGTGTTCTTTCTTCTCTTGAGATGATGCCACAACATTGCAAGTCCGTTCGACTACCTCATTTTGTGAAGAAGACGATCTTAAACTATAGATACATAACGGTTTTAACGAGAAAACCGGAGTCAAGTTGTCTTGATTAATTTTGCTTGGCTTTGTTTCGAGTATCTCACTTTTATGTTCTCTTTTTCAGATCTGCCAGGCTACGGTTTAGACCAAAGCAGATTTTTCTGGTAGTGGTCGTTGTGGAAACTGCAGTGATCTATTGGGGAAGGCACTTTTATGTTTTCCTCTGTCGCTATTTTTCTCTCCATCAAATGTAAATGAAGGTTGACTTATTTGTCTTTCTTTTTGCAAATGTATCCTAATTTGTCTTCAGTTCTTTGATTTCTGCAGCTGTGGTTTGGACTGCTGGAACGAATTGGCTTTGGACGACAAGGAAAATTGATGTGGATACGGCAAGATTATGTATGATTTTTCTTATTCTTGGTGGTTCCATTCAAATGTTTCCTGTAACACCCTGACATTTGAGTTCAGATTCAATCATATGATAAGTTATCGATTGGATAGACGGTTACGTACGAATGGTTAAAACTGCGAATTAAGAATAATAATAATAATAACTTATTATTATTATTATTAAAACAAAAAAAAAAAAAAAGAGAAAACCCACCCCACCCCACGTCACCCCACCCCAAACAAACACCATCTGTTACACCATTCCACCCCACCCCACTTCTCTCTCTCTCTCTCTCTCGTGACCCAATTAGTCCCCCACCATTCCTCATTTACACCCATCACGTTTTCATCAGAATGCCCATTTAATTGGACACACTACTTCAGATTTGAAATTAAGTGAAGAATATAGCAGTTGCAAAGCACTGTCGGTGCCGCTTCACATCTTAAAAGAGGTCGCCTTCCTCTTTTCTTCGTTCCCAAACAGCACCACCATCATGATACTCGCCCTCCCATTCTGATCTCGCCTAGCGACAGCAGCAGCCGAAGGAAGCAGCTGCACTACTACTCTCCGCACGTTCACCAGCTAGTAACCAAGAAGTGAGCGTTGTCATTCGTTCGTCGCCCTTACTTCCTCTCGTTTTCACACAGGCCCCGACACGTCTCGTTGGCCAACTCGTAGCACGACCCTCGGTACCGCCTTATCCTGCCAAGCAAATACGACCCAGGCTCGGTAATAATCTCGAACCCAAGTTTCCTTCGGACTCAAGTTATGTTGTAGCTAATCGATCCGCATACGTAATAAACCGTAGCTTTGCCACAAGACGTCGGGGGTTCAAACGGCGATCGACAAGAAGGAACGACACCCAGAATCATCAAGCCCAGTTTTAAGTTCAACCCAAAGGTAACAGATCCGAGTCTATAAGATTAACTCGAGTTAGTAACGTATAAGCAAGTTTTTGGTTTTAGTGACCAAATTACAGTCTTTTAGTGACGAATTGACGCTGTCGCAAATGATTGCTGGGCAATTGTCCAGATCAGTCCCCCATGAATTCAGTACATACAACTTAGTCCCTCAGAGTTTTAAGTTTTGATAATTTGGCCCGAAAATCGTATTTTGTTTTCATGGGTATGTTTATTTCCGACACTTTCCAGTGGGTATTTTCATAATATGATAATTTTATAAATTTGAGAATATTTGTATAAAGCTCGTGTATAAATTTTAGAATTTTTGGATCTGTATTTGTATTTATAAAAATTAAACGAATGTTGGTTTTAATTAATTAAAATACTGTACGAAGTCGTTTTGGTGATTTGATAATTTTCCATGAAACTATGATTATTTACAGATGTTATAAAATTATAGAGGAGAATTATTAGATTTTGTGACTCGATTTAAAAATTATATATGATTAATTTTAATAGGAAAAAGAGGTCATTTAAAAGAGGGGCTTATGTTTATTAATTGAGATTAATGATTTGAGTTAACCAAGGTCAGAATTTGGAGTCTTAAGTGGAAAATTTATTTTGAGAAATTTATGAGGATTTTATGAGAGCTATTTTAGGAGTTATTGAATTGTTTGAGATGATTTAATTCTTGATTAAAGGGTTGAAAAGTTAAGTTTTAAGGAATTGATTTAAAAGAGATTGAGGGCCATTTTTAAAGGATTTTGGGACTAAGTGATCAATGAGGGAAATTTTTTCCAATACGTTAAAGAGACTAAATATGATGATTACCGACTAAGGGAAGATGATTTCAGTTTATAGGATTGAGGAAGCGATCGGATTAAGGATTAAACATCAAGGGAACTAAGAATCGTCATTTGAGAGGTGAGTGGTTTAAGGGGGTAAATTCTACGCCTTACGTATTTTCAAGTATTTGACTTACGAGTTTTAAGTATGTGTGTTTATGTGAATTGTATGCCAATGATTGATTTGTGTCGTTATTGATGAGCATGTTTTATTTGAGATATTATCTGAGATGCTCTATTTGAGTTATGATTGTCAAGTATATGATTATTTGAGCTTTCGGTATTTACTTGAAGCTTTTATATTATGTTTATTTAATGAAGGTTGTTTGATCTTTAAAAGATCAACATTTAAGAGGTATTTCACTCCTAATTAAATTAGGGTGAAAAGATTTAAAGGTAGTTCACTAACGCCAGTCCCCCGCCCCAGTGAAAGTTTAAAGGAAGAGCAAGTTTGCTCTTAAGGAACATGTGGATGAATCACTTAGACATCACATGAAGTTTAAAGGAAGAGTATGATATACTCTTAAGGTTTATGGGGTTGAATCGATTACTCCCATAAAAAGGTTTAAGGAAAGGCCTATGTTGGCCCTCATACGTATGAGCTGGGCGGTTGGACTAGTTAGTGAGGGGATCCCAGTGTCGGTCAAAGGTTTAAGATTTTGAGGGTGGCGAGTAATAACAACTCCCACATTTCTTTTTAAAGGGTTAAAGTATTAAAGGGTGGAAGTATAAATAACTTCCACAAGTTTTGAGGTGAACACTTAAGGGAATACCCGTAAGTGATTCAAGTTTAAGTAATGGCGTAGACTGACCCCAACCCACTCACCAGGTCGTAGAGGAGGAGCTAGGGAGCATCCATTCGAGGAGCACCTAGTGAGAGAGCAGGCTACCAGAGGGGGACCACGTGAACACTTCTGCAGATGTCTGATCACGGATCGGAGTAAGCAGCATTTGTAATCTTTAGTTATTTGCTTTATGATTATGAGTAATGACTGGAGATTTAAAAGGATAAGGCTTTATGGATTGAGGTTTGCCCAAATGTTAGGGCTTTGCTTTTAAATTATAAGGTGTATTTTCAGTATTGGTATTTCGAGCACATTATTATTCCTTTCAAAATTTTAAATATGCTCCGGAGCAAAATTGTTATTTAAGGGTTTTAGAGATCGGGATGTGACATTTTGGTATCAGAGCCGGTGTTCTTCTGTTCCTTGGTCTCCAAGGAATACTGGAATATCGGTCGTAGTTTTAAAGGCTTGTGTTTTAAAGGAAAAGAAAATGTGTTTTAAGTTAAAGGTTTGGCCAAACGAGTCAAGGATTTCTTTTAAGGATTTATAAAATCTCCAGTCTACTCTAATCGTATTGGCAAAAATAGCTCGATTACTAAAAGGGCCTTACTTATATGCAGAGCTAGTAATGCCCGCGTAAACCTTCCACCCCCACCGCAACCTAGGCGTCCACCGGATTATGATACGTTCCGGAAGAGGAAGGTAGAGGATTTCTATGGGGATCGTTCGACGGATCCCATGGAGATCGATTTGTGGATGTCAAAAGTCACTCGCACTTTACAGGAGATGCGAGCAGATGACGAGGACAAAGTGTTGTTGACAGTGTCCCTACTGCAGGGTGCTGCTTACAACTGGTGGGCTACACTGCCAGCCAGTCGAGAGGATCCACCTGCCATCACTTGGCCAAGGTTCGTGCAACTATTCAAAGACCACTACATACCAATGTCCTATCGGACCGAGCAGCAGAGGGAATTCCTTATGATCAGGCAGAAGTGGGGAAGTGAAAAAAGAGAAACAGTGGCGGAGTACACATCCCGGTTTGATAAACTGCTCCCATATGGGGGGCCACAGTTCCAGGATGCTGGGATTCAACGCAGTTACTACCTAGAGAGCCTGAAGCCTACCCTTAGGAGGGACCTGAGTGCACATGTATGGAACAGTAGAGAGGAGATTTATCAGGCAGCCCTCCGAGTGGAGAGGGTAGAACAGAGCTTGTACGAAGAAAAAGTACAACGAGATGGTCAGAAGAGGAAGGCCGATAGTCTATCGGATGGGCCAAGTCAGATGAATCAGACCAGGAGGATGCCGAGCGGACCGGTCAGTTATGGAGGCACCCAGAGCCAGGCTGGTTCGACAAGGCTGGGGCCAACCTTCGGTAACCCGAACTCGTGCAACCAGTGTGGGAAGATTCATCCTGGGGAATGCAAGCTACACTTGGGAGTCTGCTTTTACTGCAACGAGTCGGGCCATTTCGCTAGAGAATGCCCCAGGAAGGAAGGGGAAAGAAGAAGTCATTCTGAGCAGTCTGTTCGTGGCGGAGGAGGCAGAACTCACAGCGGGCACCAGTTTGGAAACCAGCCAAACCGATCCTCCAACAACAATGGCGGAAACATCCACCATACTAGTGTGGATCAGGGTCAAATGTCGAGAGCTGGTGGGCAACCTAGAGTCTTTGCAATGGGAAAGATGGAGGGTGGTTTTGGAAGACGATGGAGCAAATGAACCAACACATTGAGGTGACTATGTGGGCGTGGTTGGAAGACATGAGATGGAACGGTTTAAATAAGCTTATTGCATTGGTTTTTGGTTCAACTAACGTCATTTAGTAATAATATGATGTCAGTTGTAATAAGAGTGAAGGCTCAAACTTCGTAAGTTAGCACAATACCAATTTCGAGGTCGAAATTTTCTTAAGGGGGAGGGAAATGTTACATCCCAGACAAACTAATCCCAGTCGAATACAAGTGTTTGTACCTCAATACCTACCCAACAATTCTAATTTCGGGGACGAAATTTTTATAAGGGTGGAGGAAATGTAACACCCTGACATTTGAGTTCAGATTCAATCATATGATAAGTTATCGATTGGATAGACGGTTACGTACGAATGGTTAAAACTGCGAATTAAGAATAATAATAATAATAACTTATTATTATTATTATTAAAACAAAAAAAAAAAAAAGAGAAAACCCACCCCACCCCACGTCACCCCACCCCAAACAAACACCATCTGTTACACCATTCCACCCCACCCCACTTCTCTCTCTCTCTCTCTCTCTCTCGTGACCCAATTAGTCCCCCACCATTCCTCATTTACACCCATCACGTTTTCATCAGAATGCCCATTTAATTGGACACACTACTTCAGATTTGAAATTAAGTGAAGAATATAGCAGTTGCAAAGCACTGTCGGTGCCGCTTCACATCTTAAAAGAGGTCGCCTTCCTCTTTTCTTCGTTCCCAAACAGCACCACCATCATGATACTCGCCCTCCCA